GCAAGAGAAACCTGCTGGTGCAACAAGGAGGCTTTTTACCGTACATCATCGGGCCCATACTCACAGCTTTATTATCTCGAATTATCGAGTAAACATGGAACGGGCTAAAAAAATGGTGCTGATTTCCACGGATAATCTCGAAAGAATGCAACAATGAATGGCGGGAAAAAATATCACTGCTAATACCACACGCACTCCCGGAACCGTGCTCTCGCGTCTCGACGCGGAGATGAAACGTATTCTCGATTCCCCTGTTGATGAAGGTGAAAAATGGAAATTGTACAGAGAAGTACTTCGTCGATATCTGTATTTTATCCGAAAAGCGAAAAAGCGCAAAGAAGAAGATCCATCCGTGGCGGAAACAACTGCTGTGACTGGTGAAGAAAGGGAAGAGGAAGAGGAGGAGGACGAGGAAATGAAAGAACTATTTCACGACGCGGAAGAACCAATGGACGTTTTGCCTCAAACATCCTCTGTTTTACCAAAACATTATTCAACACCATTACGACACAATAATAATAATAATAGTCAATATCAACGGATTAATCAGTCAACTCCGAAGAAAAATGTATCGTTTGCAGATATTTCATTTAACAACAGCAGCAGCGCAACGAGAAGCTCTCGCAAACAAAAAACTATAACAAACATAATAGAAACAATTCCAAAAACTTACCGCCCCAAAGCGCGAATGCTTTTGAATCATCTGATCGCAACGGCTGTTCCCGTCAAGATCACATGGAACGAACGCGGCATCGTGACCAAGAGTCCAGAATTGGTGGGAACAAATATTGTGGAACTCGGAAACGATGCGATGCGAGAAAGAAAAACCGCTAGAATACTGGGGGCCATTCATTTCGCTCATTTACTTCGCGACATAAACACGCCTTCTCAATACGTGGGAAATCCTAAATATTTACGCTTTTTGCGAAAAGGAGGAAAAAGAACAAAGCGCAAATTTCCGCTTAGTATTGAACAAGAAGAAGAGGAAGGATGGGATTACCGCGCCACCGACAAGAACAAGAAAAAGATACGAATCGGGATTCCGAGACGGCTGCTCACGTGGGACGAAATGTAAACGAAACGCTTGACCGGTTGTATTATAATCCCGCGCATTACGTCGGTTACTCGTCGACGAGAAATTTGTCGCGAGCCGCTAAACCGAATTACTCGCGCGAGGACGTTGTTCGCTGGCTTCGTTCGCAAGATGCTTACACGCTACATCGTCCCGTGCGGCGAAAGTTTCCCCGACTGCATTACAACGTGACGAATATCGACGATCTCTGGGAGGCTGATTTGATAGAATTGCGAAATTTGCAAAGCTATAACGACGGATATTGCTATCTACTGACAATTATCGACGTGCTCAGCAAATTCGCGTGGGTGGAACTGTTGCGACACAAAACAAGTGCTCAAGTCCTTCGTGCGTTTCAACGCGTGCTCTCGAGAAGTGGCGGACGAAGACCCGTATATCTGCAAACCGACAAAGGTAAAGAATTTATCGCGCATCCGCTGCAAAAATTTCTCAAGGAAGGACTTCGTTTCCGTGTGGCGCGTAATCCAGACGTTAAAGCACCCGTGATCGAGCGTTTCAATAGAACGCTAAAAGAGCGCATGTGGCGCTACTTCACGCACAAAAACACGAAACGTTACCTCGATGTCTTGCAGGATATTGTGCACGCGTACAACCATACGCCGCACTCTTCCATACGCATGAAACCCGCGGACGTTACGATGGAAAACGCGAATATTGCGCGCGAAAACACGTGGCATCGCTGGAAAAAACAGCGAGCGAAAGCAGCTAAATACTCCGTCGGCGATCTCGTACGNGTCAGTAGAGCGAAAGCCGCCTTTGAGAAAGGATACGAGGCCAAGTGGAGCAAAAAGATATTTCGAATTCATCGTGTTCTCGAGTTAATCCGCGCGTTTACGAGCTGAGTGATTTAGCGGATGAGGTTATAGACGGAATTTTCTACGAGCAAGAACTGGCTCCTGTTGTTAAAAACCTACAAGAAGAAACTTTCATCGTTGATCGGGTGATAAAAAGCAAAGGAAGGGGACGTAATAAGCAACTGCTACTCAGTTGGCAAGATTATCCGTCTAAATTCAACTCGTGGATTCCGGCTTCGAGTTTAACAACGCTTGCACAAGACAATGATGGCGACAATGATGATGACAATGGAGGAACACTTTTTCGTAGTTCTCCC